AATAACATTTAATAAAGCAAAAATTGTATAATATCGATGGTTTAACAAAATTTAATTAACAATGATTTATGAAGAAGATAGATCATTACTTTATACATATAAGACATGAGGCGGTTACGGCAGTTAGAAGGCGTTTGGCTTGGCTAATAATTACGGCGTTAGAATTAGGGGATAATGAACGGTTAACGGAACGGATCCGAGGATCTCACATATTATGATCGAACGGCTAAGATCGAAAGATGAAAAAGTAAAACTAACACAATCCGTTAAGTAGCGGTGTGTAATTTTAACTAACGGCAACGTCAACGTTACTTTTTAGCGTGTGTATATATAAACGAAGACGGTTTCCTTGGAGCTTGTGCACACTCATCTGTCACTCTTTCTTCTTCTTCTTCTTCATTCGGATTCTCACTTTTTCTCTCTCCTCTCTCTCTCTCTCTCTCTCTTCTCCCGCTTGTTTTCCGAGAAAATTTTCGTTAGGTTCTAGAGAAGAAGAAGAAGAAGAAAGCTTTTAATGGCGTCGTCTTCTCAGAAAGTGATCAGTGTTTGCTTTGCTGTGTTCGTCGTTTTAGCTTTAACGGTGACGATTCTCCGGAACGATGAGATCTCTCGCTCTAGGTCTTGATCTCTTCTCGAATCTTCATCTTTTTCTCTCTATATGTTTTTTTTTCTTCTATTTCGCTTTTAATAAGCTACATTGTTAACTTCTGTGAAGGATTTTGAGATTTTTTTTTTTCATTTCTGTTTGTTTAAATCTCGCTTCAACGATTCTTCTTCTTTTTTTTTCCATAGATTTGCTTTCTATTTATGGATTTTGATACTTTTTTTTGTGAGAGATTCAATTTTAAGCTTTAGATTCCGTAATAATGCTCTGTTTTTTTTTTCTTTGCTTTTGGTAGGAAACTGAAAACAGAGGAGTCACAGAGTTTAAGCAGCTCAACAATGGCGGCGACAAGGTAAAAAAGGAAACAAAACTTTTAGTATAGATGCAAACATAACACGCGCTTTCAACCGCTAGGGTTATCTGGATGTGAAATAAAAGTAGAAATATAACTAACGATCCTAGCCGTTGATCTGTACGAGTTTTTTGTGAGAGAGTTTTGATTTTGATTTTCGTAATAATGCTCTGGTTTTTATCCTTTTCCGGTTTCTGTAGGAAGCTGAAAACAGAGGAGTTTCAGAGCTCAAACAGCTCAACAATGGCGGCGACAAGGTAAGAAAAAACTCAGTTTAATTTTTTTTTCTTTTGCCGCCGCTCAGAAAACATGAAACGCGCCTTTAACCGCTAGGGTTTATCCTTTATTTATTTTTATTTTTTCGTTTTAAGTATAAAAAAGTGGAAAAATGAAGTAACGATTCTAGCCGTTGGATATGTTAAGATCTCGCCAGATCCATTTGCCGTTAAACCATTCCTTTTCGTTGCTGTTTTGATTCCTCGAATGTAGCGTATAGAGAGAGGTTTCATTCATCGCCGCTCACACATGCTCTGTCTCTTCAGTCCTATAGAGAAACTTTAGTAAAAATATATATATTCCACGTCACTAATTAACGAGTACGATTTTCTCAAAAAGGGTAAATTAGTCAATTTGGTTCTGTTTATTTCTTCTGTACTCTCTCTCGCGTGTATAGATTATCTTTCGTTGGGATGAGACCACGTGTCAAAGTATTGTGAATTTGCTCGTTTTCATGAATTGGTTGGTTAATTTTATGAGTTTATGGTTGGTCGCGTCATTTGTCACTTTTTAAAATTTTTAAATTTCAAACAGTGTTGGAGGTGATGAACCACATCAACACGCGGTTGCTGCTGATCCAGATGAGGTTGCTGCTGAAGTCGCTAAGCTTATTCAGATGTGCGTCTCTCTCTCTCTCTTTCGTTTTCTCTATAATTGTGTGAATGCATTAATTCTGAAATTTGCTCTGCGAAATACACACGTGAACCTTAATTTAAAATTTAACTAGAACAAAGGGAAAAAAAAAAACTTACTTTTCTGAATTGTTTTATAATTTTGAGTATTAAGGGGTAAAGATAGAAACTTTTGCTTTTATGGTTGTCTCTGTCTCTTTTTAATGTCATCGTGAAACGACAAAACTGACATGAAACCCGTCTCTCTCTCGGATAAACCTGACACATTGTCGTTTCACCATGCTTGCGAATGTCAGAGTCCGTTAGCTTGCACGGATATTGGTTTGTTTGTTTTATGGGTTTAGAGTAGACGGCGTTTTCTTCCTTCACTCATTTAATTCGACTTCACTTTTTTTTTTTTTTGTGCTGTTGTTTGTGGCTGAGTTTGGGTTTTACACGAAGAGTTTGGTTTAGTAACTCCTCCTGTCGTCTTCTTGTGGCATTAAGTTTTGAAGTCTCTTTCATTTGGATATTATATGGTCTGGTCTATTTTAGTTTTTTTCACCAGCTGAACATTAATGGAGCTTTTTTTCGGATTTATTCGACAACCACTTTGTTGACCTCATAAACCAACAAAGTTGGATTCTTTAGTTATTACGTTAGGTAGAACAAACCAGAAACGGCGGCTGAGATGTTTAATCAGTCCTAAAGATTCGGATGAAACAAAAAAAAATGTCATTTTTGAATTTAATTTTCTCAGATTTATCTATGTGTGGTGTGATTTATTGATTAATTAAGCATGAGTCGTAATTGAATTTCAGGAGTGAACAGAACAGGACAGCAAGGAGGAATCTAGGATTCTTCTCCTGTGGAACTGGTAATCCAGTTGATGACTGCTGGCGTTGTGACCGTAACTGGCATAAGAACCGTAAACGCCTTGCGGATTGTGGGATCGGTTTTGGAAGGAACGCAATTGGTGGTCGTGATGGACGCTTCTACGTTGTTACTGATCCGACTGATGAAGACGTTGTTAATCCCAAACCCGGAACTCTACGCCATGCTGTTATTCAGGAGGAGCCTCTGTGGATTGTGTTCAAGAGGGATATGGTGATAGAGCTGAAACAGGAGCTGATCATGAACAGTTTCAAGACCATTGATGGACGTGGCGCCAACGTTCATATAGCCAATGGTGCTTGCATTACCATCCAGTTTATCACCAATGTCATCATTCATGGTCTTCACATTCATGATTGCAAGCCCACTGGAAATGCAATGGTTAGAAGCACCCCAACTCACTTTGGTTGGAGGACAATGGCTGATGGTGATGCAGTCTCCATTTTTGGATCATCTCATATCTGGGTTGATCATAACTCTCTCTCTCACTGTGCCGATGGCCTTGTTGATGCTGTCATGGGGTCTACTGCTATTACCGTTTCCAATAACCACTTTACACACCACAATGAGGTCTCATTTGTTCTCTGTCCTCCTTCAATACACTAATCTATAGTATGGTTCCGTTTTCATGACACTTATATGTATGTATGTGTGCAGGTGATGTTGCTTGGTCACAGTGACACGTACACAAAAGACAAGCTGATGCAAGTGACCATTGCTTACAACCATTTTGGTGAAGGACTGGTTCAGAGAATGCCAAGGTTTCTATTCGTTTTCAACTTGTTAATCCAATTAAAGTTGCCATTTTGTTCTGACAGTAGAAAGTCTTGTTAATCCAATTAAGCTGTCATTTGTTCTGACAGTAGAAAATTGGTTGTGTAATGGCAGGTGCAGACATGGGTACTTCCATGTGGTTAACAACGACTACACACACTGGGAGATGTACGCCATTGGTGGGAGTGCAGAACCAACCATCAACAGTCAAGGAAACAGATATGCTGCTCCCATGGACCGCTTCGCCAAGGAGGTTAAACATCTCAAACCTTTATGCCTGCTTAAACAGAGTAATAAGAGGTGGTTATATTATACGCAAAATTAAATTGTGGATCCACAGGTGACTAAAAGAGTGGAGACAGATGCAAATGAGTGGAAGAAGTGGAATTGGAGGTCAGAAGGAGACCTTCTACTAAATGGAGCATTCTTCAGGTCATCAGGAGCAGGAGCATCTGCTAGCTATGGAAGAGCCGCAAGCTTAGCAGCTAAACCATCATCTATGGTCGACACTATTACCTCTACTGCAGGAGCACTAGGTTGCCGTAAGGGCAGACCTTGCTAGTTCTCTCTCACACTCTATACCACCGTCACAGTAACTAACCCTAAAACCTTTCACATATCTTTGGAAGGTGCATATATAGTACTATTCTTCTTCTGTTCCCTCTTAGGACCGTCATTTCCGGTTTTCTTCCGGATGGTAGGAATTGGTCAACCTCGGCTTGCTTCTTCTTCGTCTTCTTTAAAAAGGTGGGAATACAGAGAGAAGCAATCACAGAAGCGTTGTTCAAAAAGTGTCCTTCTAGTTTACAAAACTCTTATTGTTTTAGGTTTTGCTTTTAGGGTTGTTAAGGTCCTTTGGTTTTAATGGATCCTCCCTGAGTTCTAGAGTCTTTTTGGGTGGTTTGATTTTTTTTTGGAAAAATTCACTTTAAAGTTAGTGAGAGAGTAGCTGCAAAAATTGTTACAAGACGATTGAGAAAAGCTTTTGGTTTGGTTGGCTTTTATGTTTTGTTTGGTTGTTGCCATTTGTTTCAATGGATAACAAAATTGTTTAAATCTTTTTATGCAACCTAAAGCAAACCACTTGTGAGTTGAGAGGTGTGTAAACGAAAAGGAGTTACACTAACATGTGATGTGATCCCAAACCCACAAATAATTGATGCGATCTTTGTTTCTTCTTTTGAAGTTGAGGTCTTAGTGGTTTCTGTTCCCTGCGCTGCACGTTACGTGTTGGGCTATTCTTTACTCTTTTAGATTCGATTCGTAAGCTTTTTCATGTGATTGGAGATTATACGAGAAGCTTTACCTACTGGTTTGTTCTCTCATAAATACATTGTGTGATCATAAACGGCTACTTATGTGGAACATCATATCACCCCATTCTCTTTTAGTTTTGCCATCCAACATTTATTTTAGCTTTTTGGTTGGATGGTTTTATCAGATTGATACAAGTCTCACCGTCGGAGTATTTAATGAACACCATGAACAATACTACCAAACGATGCCTTTCAATCCATGCATGGGTTTGAGAACACCATGAACAATACTTGTATTTGAGAAAAAAAATACAATATTAATATCCCCAAAGGAGCTTAATATAGGAACAGTGAGTGATCAGTGCTCAAATCTCTAAAAGCTGGATACATTGATGATTGAGATCTCTTAAATGGTATCATCATCTTTCTGAAACACATAGCCTGCCTCCTTAAAGTGCGATTTCACCAATGCTAATGACTTGTACCTATGAGATATCAAGTTCTTTTCTTCCTTGGCCATTTCTGCATAACTACAACCAACATAGAGAATATTACCAACCACTCTTAGTTTCCTCTTTAACCAGGATCCCATTAATGATGTTAAATACAATGTTTACTGGGAGTTAACAGAGGCATACGTTTGGTCATATCCATCAGGTTGAAAAACTGGATCCCACCCGAAATCAGTTGGTCCTCTTGCTGGAACTATCTTACCCTGACACATCAATCACAAGGCAGAAAACAATCATATTTTGACAGTTAGCAATAAGAGACAGAACAAAACTAAAATGACTAGCAGATGGAGCAGGGAGTTTGAGAAAAGAGTGGTGACAATGTTTAACATACCGGAGTTTTCCCCAAAAATGTAAGAGGTTCAGCACCTGGACCATGCGAGAAAGAGAATGCGCACAATGCATAAGCTGATTTATCTTCATATGCCATCAGTAAGTTGTTCAGACCTGGACAACAGACAGACCAAGATTAGATGTTAGTGTAAGAGATAAATGAAAGAAAGGAAGAGGTCAGAGAAACAATTGACTTTTACAACCTTCATGTCCAAGCTTCTCAAGAAACCACTTGCTGCAAAAACAGAAAAGAAGATCGTAAGTGCAACAAAGAAGACTTCTAGAGACAGCAATATAGCTCTAACACAGGTAGTCCCACACTAAAATTCAATCTATTACGATAGTAGTAGATGCCAGCAAACATAGAGGTCTCTTCTACAATTCAGTCTACAATAAAAGAACTCCATTTGGCTATTCATTCAAACCATTTAGCAGCGGCCATGAAGAACTAATAACAAGACTTGATCCAACCCAACCAGTTAATTTTCCAGGACATCCATATAAAGGCACCACTTAAGAGAGCTTCAGAAGTAAAGGCCAGCATACATATATCAACGTAACACATCTATGTATGTAATTCCCTGAACTTAAGAACTCCTAATTTACATAAACCCTCATCATGACAAAATGGAGTTGGAGAAAATATATATTTCAAATTAATGTCTACAAGCACAGAACCAAGAGAGGAATGAAAGAAACAATACTTACATGTATGGCCCTGAAAAATTCAACAAAAAAGAAAGAATCAATATAAATTCAGACAATGTGTAAATTTAATCATTTGCTTTACATAGAGTAAATTTAAAAAAACCTAGAATCTAAAGGAACTCATACCAGGAAGCCCCTTCAGAGCATTGAAACAGAGGCATGTATCCTCCACTAAGACTGGACCATTCACCTTCTCATTTACAAATCAAACAAACTTTATATCAGTTCTTACTATCCTTAACCTTAATCACCAACTTACTGATACTAGTCCACATTTAACAGAAGGAAGCATAAAATACAAGTGTATACAAGAACCAAACTATGATCACAAAAAAGCTTACACATAAACATAAGTATTCTGATTTTTATAATTAGTTCAAGTAGAAAAAGGGAAAAAAAGCTTGTGCACCTGAAGAGCAGCTAAACGAGCCTTCTCTTTGGAGATATCCTCAGGCTCACCTTGAAGCTCAGGCACTGCAACTCACGATGTACACAACTAAACAAATGAGACTCTTTAAGTACAAAAAGAGAAAATAAAATACATTGTGTGATCATAAACGGCTATTTATGTGGAACATCATAGCACCCCATTCTCTTTTAGTTTTGCCATCCAACATTTATTTTAGCTTTTTGGTTGGATGGTTTTATCAGATTGATACAAGTCTCACCGTCGGAGTATTTAATGACCACCATGAACAATACTACCAAACGATGCCTTTCAATCCATGCATGGGTTTTACTTGTACTTGAGAAAAAAAATACAATATTGATATCCCCAAAGGAGCTTAATATAGGAACAGTGAGTGATCATCCCCAAAGGAGCTTAATATAGGAACAGTGAGTGATCAGTGCTCAAATCTCTAAAAGCTGGATACATTGATGATTGGGATCGCTTAAATGGTATCATCATCTGTCTGGAACACATAGCCTGCCTCCTTAAAGTGCGATTTCACCAATGCTAATGACTTGTACCTATGAGAAATCAAGTTCTTTTCTTCCTTGGCCATTTCTGCATAACTACAACCAACATAGAGAATATTACCAACCACTCTTAGTTTCCTCTTTAACCAGGATCCCATTAATGATGTTAAATACAATGTTTACTGGGAGTTAACAGAGGCATACGTTTGGTCATATCCATCAGGTTGAAACACTGGATCCCACCCGAAATCAGTTGGTCCTCTTGCTGGAACTATCTTACCCTGACACATCAATCACAAGGCAGAAAACAATCAAATTTTGACAGTTAGCAATAAGAGACAGAACAAAAATAAAATGACTAGAAGATGGAGCAGAGAGTTTGAGAAAAGAGTGTTGACAATGTTTAACATACCGGAGTTTTCC